AAAAAAATAACAAAGTGCTTCATGAATATAATGTATTTGAAAAGTATAGAAGTACTTCTAATCAATTGTATATATGACCTAAAGAACTTCATTCTATAGATAACTTCACCTTAAGAGAAATAACATAATCATAGCCATGAACAAATAGAAAGGCTCAAGACATGATTTAGCTCATTATTCTGAAAAATGTCATAGCCTAAAATCCTTCAGATAATTCTAATTTAGGTATCATAAGTTGTACTGCTTTAAATGCTGTTTTAAAAGAAAATCTTCAGAGCTTTAATGGAGTTAACTTTCGATTTACTCAAGGTGAGAATGAGACACCCAATAATGGGAACATGGTATTTCTCAAGTTTTGGCATATTTGTTCCCATGCCTTGTTACCTACTGACCTGGGTAAAGAGGACATCTTTTTAATATTGTGTCAACTGGTAAATTGCTCTGTGGATATAAGTAAAGTACATTAAATGTTTTGAAAGCTCAACTTGTCTTCTGCAAAGAGTTGCAATTGAAAATAAGCTTAGTGTGTAAAGCATAAACATCTTGTTTTAATTCTGCAATCTCTCTATTAAGAGCAACTTGTTAATCAAGACAGTAACTTCTTAATATTAACATTTAGAGTAACTATGTTAGAATTAAAACTAAAATAAGATATTATTCCAAAAAGGCAAAAATAACTTACCATAGGTATCAATTTAAAACAAATATAATGCAATTAAATATAAGCCAAAGGGCTTACTATCATAAAGCATTTGAAACATTATTTAAAAAATCCAAAGATACAACAATTTAACAAATGGATAAAAAAATTAAAGACTAAATTATTTTCTAAAGAAAATAGACAGTACACTTGTAGCATTAGATGTCATAAGCAATATGCTTACATTTAAAAAGAGATTCTTAGAATCACACATTTGCTGTGAGGACTTTCTTTTTCTTTTTTTTAACATTTATTTATGCATACAAGAACTGGGGTACAGGCCAGGTGAGTAGGGTGGGGGGGGATGAGAGGACTTTCTAGAGACAGAGTAGGGAGCAGAACAGGTAGATTGACTAAAATACACTGCTGAGGAGAGCAGCGGGCGGCAGGAGAGGTCTGCGCGCCATGTGGGACCCTCCTCCGGTGGCCGGGGAGCAGCCGGGGATCGAACCGGCGCTGCAGAGGCCGCGGGCAGCTTCGCAACCCGGCGCTCAACCGCTGCGCCACCGGGGAGGCCCAGAATATAATGCATTTTAACAACATGGTTTTCATTGAAGAAGATATTTGTAGATATTCAAGTGCAAAGGATGAGTAGTTATATGGGTGTAAATCTCAGAAAAGACATCAGAGTTGGATGCAGTTGTATTTTAGTATGTCTAAGAAAGCACAACTTTTAAGATGTTTATAATTCATGGGTCACTGAGAAAGAAAAAGTCTGTGAAATGTGAAATTTTCATCTATTGTATTGTAAGAGTCATCCCTCTATATGATACATTAAAAAGTGAAAATAAAATTTGACTTATAATTGATTATGTATGAAGTAAATTTGGAATCCATAAGTACTTGTAGTTTGAATTAACCACATATATTTATGAGATTACTACTGGAAGAGTTTAGATGAAGAATAAAGAATTTCCTAGAAGATCCAGCATTTAATGATCAGGATAAAGGGAAATAATTCTAGAGAGAAAAAATAAAATGAGCTAAGTCGTAGGCTACTAGAGAAGGAAGAAGAAGACACTTCTTAAAAGGAAAAAAAAAAAAACTAATGGTGCTGCACATTCTGGAACATTTAGAAACTTTATCATAATGAAAGTATTTGATTTCATTAGAAATATCAGTTTTGGTTGAGTGGTAAGAATACAATAAAATGGAATGAATCAGGATTAAGTTCGGAAATCAGGATTAAATTAAGTCATAAAAATAGAGGGAGAAATAATTTTCAAGGAGTTTTGTCATGAAAATGAAGAAAGAGACAAGGAGGTCAATTTCCTGTGCATGAATTATTTACTAGAGTAGTAATCCATGGCTCATTTTCATTTCAACAGCCTGGCATTTAGGGGATGGCGTATTATCATTTCTTTGTATACACACCAATGTTATATTTTCTCCCTCTATAATTAGTGGACATTTTGAGATTTGAAAAGTAAATTTTGTGTTATATTAATAGATCTCTCCAGGAGATAATGTTTGAGGTTTATTTTCGTTTTATTTCTATTTCTGATGAAGTTTCTGCTCACTCTTCCAGAGCAAATTGTATTGTGAGTCTTTTTTCATAATGTATGCAGGAGGATTTCTTTTCTATTTTTGTTGTATCATGTTGTTGAACATTATATTGTGATTCCCTTTGATTTTTCTTCTTTTCCTTCTCTTTGTCTGACCAGGGAACATTTCCCAATGTTAAGAGACAGCTTTGTTAGAATTAGGCTGAGATGTACTAATAGGGTGTGTTATTGGCATCTAGTGAAAAGAAACCAGGGATGTTGCTAGTAATACATATTTTAGAGGACAGAGATCTCCCACAAAGAACTACCAGCCCCAAAACATCAATAATTTTGAGGCTGAGAAACCTTGGACTAGTTAAACAGTATACCATCCTAACCTTTATGCACAAAGACCAAATAATTCCTGTCTTGCTCTATTATTGCAGGAAGGAAGTGCTTGTGGAAAGCTATTTCAAGACTTTCAATATTTCATCTGTAAGGTTCTAAGCTCTCTGATATTTTGCATCAACACTAAGTCTTTGTAATCATAATCTTCCCTGTGATAAAATGGAACTAACGCTACCTTCATCATATGGTTGGTGGAAGGATTAAATTAGATGCATCTATAAAACATTTAGCAGTATGGCCCACATATATTAGAGGCTGTATAGTGTTCCTGCCACTTCCCATGACGTTATAATAAATTTTAGCAATTTCAAAGAGAACACTTTTTATTTTAACATTTCTGCAAAAGGAAATACCTATGAATTTTTAATCAATGCAATAATAAAAAGTGGAATTATGTAGTGTTAGCTTGATGGTTCTATTTTCTTTATACTTTAAGCTCTTCGTGATTTCCTCAGCAGGCATTGTTTTAGCATCTTACTCATGATCCACCAATGGGAAATGTTGAGTGCAATAGCATTGGATCAAGAAATAAAGTTACATGATTCTTTTAGTAGCCTCAAGAGAAGGTATTTCATAAAACAGTTCTTTTGTAAAAATAAGGAATTATTTTCTTGAACAAATGAAAAAGAACATGCATAGCTGTATATCAAAGTTCCAACACTTTAAAAAGACCTTAGTATATTCTAGAGTTTCATTAAAGATGTCATGTATATTTAGCTCCTTCAGTAAGATGATTCTAGATACTTTTCCCTTCTAAATAAAGAGTAAAATATCCTAGCTGGGAATTCCTACAAATATGATCTGGGAGACTTGTGTCATTTAGAAATTTGTGATTGCAAATTTATGAAAATGCAGTCCAATGAGTTAATACATATATTCCAGATAGTCAGACCTACTGTAATCTTGAATCCTGATTATTTGGCAAAGAAGGAAGAAATAAAAAGTTTTGACATAATTCAGACATTTCACTATGCAGACACTTTCCTCCACCCCATTCCTTGCCCAGGCTAGCATAGCTTTCAGATAAAATTCTTTCTAGACTTCTTCAGAACACTTTCAGCTTTCTGGCAAGGCTAACTATTTTCAGCAACCACAATAATTTTAGAGTTTAAGTAGTCATTTTCTTTTATGGGTTATATTAAACCAGATTTACCTTGAATTTATGAATTTCCTTTTCCATGCAATACTTGATAGTTCATAAAAGTTGCTTTATTTTTTAGCCACAATGTGTGATCCAAATCTATACTAAAGTATCTGCAGTTTCTTTTGAGGGAATTACAACTATTCATAACTTAATGTGAGGGTGACACACTCACATTTGTTCAAGACATCCATTGTGGTATAGAAAGAAAACCATGACACTTTTAATTATATTTCCATTTTAATATTTAAGAGGAAGCTAAGCTTCTGAATGTATAAAAATACATGCAATCGTGACAGGCTGGATTCCAGGTGTCCTTCATACCACTGAACTGCCTTTTACTTTTTTTGTATTGCCACAAGCTACAATTTCTTTGTGCCCTGTTAAGTGAAAGTATCTAGTTGAACAGTATCAAAATGAACAGCAGCCTTTAAAAAAAAAATAGAGATATTCCTTCCTAAGAAATTGCAGTTCAAAGATGAAACTAAAATGCAAGAAATGAGTGCTAATAAAATGGCAGAACTAACTTTCCTGTTGCTTCTAGCAGGTTTTTCTTTTTAAAGATTTATTTATTTATGCATACAAGAATTGAGGTATAGGCCAGAGGTGAGGGAGGTGAGAGTATTCACCAGAGTGGGGAATAGAACAGGCAAACTGACTGAAATACACTAGTGAGGGGAGCAGCCAGCGAGACAGGAAAGGTCTGCTGTGCCATGTGAGTTGCTCCCTGGCCTGGGATCGAACTTGTGCTGCAGTGGCTGCAGACAGTTCATAGGCTGCATCTTAACCCCTTGTGCCACCAGGGAGGACCCTCTCTACATTTAAAAATTTGATAAAGTTACTGCTGCTTCTCTTGTCAATTGATAGACTTGTTTGATGACACAATCGGGTGGATGAGCAATAACTCTTTTTAATTCTTTTTAATTAGGGGCCATAATTCTTTTCTTTTTGATGGAGTAACATTTGTTAAGAACTTATCTGGTCATAATGCATCAGTGTTAATTTGTTTGCATGTGGTGCACAGACAACAGTCAACCAAAATCCTCTTTCTGGACGTGGAACAAGGATTCGGTTTCCATTCTCTCCTGCTGTCATTTACTGGGTCCTTAAGGGATGTGAGTAGAATGTGTGCTGCTTTTATGCTTGAACCTGTAACTGAGTGGCTGTACCTCCTCAAACCCTCTTCAGCCTCCTGCCATCAAGGTCTGGGCTGACAGACCAGCCTTTATGATGCGGATAATGACAAACCCCTAAGGGCCATCAAAGCGCTAGAAGGAGCTAGCTGGGAGTCCTGGATCCCCATGTGGAAGAGAGATTCCCACCAGCCAGGAATAACTGCCTGGGCCATTGAGAAAGAAATATAAACCCTTTAGGCTCTTCCTTGTTACAGCAGTTGATTCTACACCAATGGCAATGTATAATTCAATATTTAAATTTAATTTTTAAGTGCATTCTTTAACTTCACACAATCTATTTTGCAAGTGTGGATGTTTTTCGCATATATTTCTGTACTTCTTCGCTTCTGACTCATACCTGTAGGTTAATTTGTTACTTAAATCTTAATTGCCATTGTAAAGTAGAATACAATATTTAAATTTAATTTTTAAGTGTGCTCTTTTATTTTGCACAATCTATTTTGCAAGTGTGTGGATGTATTCCATTTATTTTTCTGTACTTCGTTTCTAACTCATAACTGTATGTTAACTCGTTATTTAAATCTTAATTGCCATTGCCCTTGATAGCAAAATCTCCTGCAGGTTTTCTGTTTATCTCTCTGGCTTTTCCTCCAGGCTTGCTTAATGTACTGATTTGCACAGCGAGGTGGACTTTAGTTCACATTTTAAATCTGAGAGCTTATATTGTGATGAACATAGCAAATATTGGGAAAAGACATTCAAATGGAAAAATCTGTCCATTTTCACACCTCTGCATTGAAAAGGGTCTTGTTAAAACTTCAATAAGTCCCAGGCTCAGATGGTGCTCATGAAAATTTTTCTCCCTTTGTGCTACACACAGTGCATTTATAGCCCTTTACCTGGGAGATTGCATGCTGTACAATATTCACTTTAGAAAACAGTTACGTACACTCGACTACACAAATTACTATAAAATCCTCTTCCTTACAGTTCTTGCTTCTTAAGAATTCTTATAAATTTAATGGATGGGAACTGGAGAAGATGCTTTATTCTGGGATTCCAACTCCATCTCTTCAGTTCTCAGGGCTTATTTTCAATATTTAGATTTTTTTCTTCTTATTTATAAAAATTACAGAGTGATGAGACTGGAAAATCCTGCTTTTCCTCAGAGCAAAATCTACTCAGTAAATTCCTCATAATCCCATTGTAATTCATTGTTTGTTATATATTATTCATAACTCTCAAAGCTGGCAGTCTATCCTCTGTACAACCAAATTCCCAGTCACCTCTCTATTCTTCACTAGATAATGCTATTTTCATAATAAATTACTATGCAGTTTAACTCTAGAGACAAAAATAATTAGGAAAAATGTATTCAGAATAATTGGGAGGCAAAAAAAAAGTTCTGAATGCATTGAAATAGAAATAGTAATTAGTCAAATAAAATGTATACTTTTTCATTGTCTTTTTCATCGCACAAGTTGTCTCCAAGATCACTTTAAAATTAGGCACAAGTGCCTTCTCCTGGCCATGCACCTCTCTGTCGCTCTTCATCCATTACATCAGAAACATTTTCTTTAAATTTCCTACCTTTACAGTAATTACATTGAATATGTGATCTGTTGTCACATAAGTGATCCATGCTGTTTCAATGCATGTAGAAGTCACTGAGTCAGTCGTTATTAAATATATATGTATATAATGTATGTGCATAAATACATATATATTAAAAACATACAATTTTTAAAATACTTTTTTTTGAAAGATTTATTTATTTATGCATACAAGAACAAGAGAAAGAGTGGGGAGCAGAACAGGTGGGTCAACTAAAATACACTGCTGAGGGGAGCCGCAGGCTGGACAGGAGAGGTCTGCTGTGCCATGTGGGTCAGCTCCTTGGCCCCGGGTTCAAATTTGTGCTGCAGTGGCTGCCAATAGCTTGATTGTGCTGACTTCAACCCCAGCACCACCAGGCAGGCCCCTTAAATAGCTTCTTTATTTAACTTTAAGACCTTGCCTGGTGGTGCAGGTGGTTGAGCGCAGCGCTATGAAACTGTCCACAGCCTCTGCAGAGTGGCTTCGATCCCTGCCAGCCAGGGAGATACCCACAGGGTGTGGCAGACCTCTCCTATCTCCCCAGCTGCTCCCCTCAGCAGTGTATTTCAGTCAGTCTGCCTTTTCTGTTCCCCTCTCTGTCTCTGGTGAATCCTCTCACCCTCCCACACATCTGGCCTGTAGCCAGGTTCTTGTATGTATAAATAAATAAATCTTAAAAAAAAAGACCTTGGAACTAGCTCCTGTGACTCACTTGTTATGTGCTTGCATGTACATGTCTCTGTGTATGTGCATATAATTTTCAAACTATAAAAGAGATAAACAATTTTACTTGGAATATGTTTATGAATTTTTAGTCTAAACTCTACAGTGCTATAAATAACATTTCGTGATTTTGGGTGTTGGATGACACAGAAATTTAAGTATTTACTTCAGAGGAGTTTGGATAGTCTATTCTAATTGTGACTATTAAAATGTTTTTAGATTTTCTTGCATGTAGTTCTTCTAACAATTCCATTGCACTGGGCATAGAGAGGCTTAGAAAAGTTCTGTCCTTTGCTCAACAGAGCACTGAAGAGGAGCTTAACTAGAGTCGGGAGTTCATATTCCTGGATCTGTCCCCTCTTCTGTGGCTCATGCACATCTTTCTCATTTCTTCCTAATATTGATTACTCCCCTTCTCCTCTTGTCATTACTTCAAAGACATCATAATGCACCCAGTTTCTATAAGGATATTTTCTAGTAGGACAGTTTAGAGGCTTTGCAAGATTGATAATTTTAACTTAGGTGTGGTTGAAGGTCTCCAGTTTTCATGAAGACTCCTGCCTAGTGGTTCAAAGTTTTATAAAAAGTGTCTCTCTGCATCTCATAGGGCAGGCATGAAAGGTTTATCTGGTAAGTTTGCATGAAAATAGTTTCCTGCAAGAAAAGATCTTACTTTGTCTTTTCTCAACATCCTTTTAATGCTAAGATCTGGATATAATGATAATTATAAAAACAATGGCATCGTAAACAACCGAGAGGTGCTGAACATTCAAGCAATAGTAACATAAAGAATATTTTTTAAATAGACTATTGATAACTTTAACTCAAAGTAATTTTAGCATAAAGTAATTTTAATAAACTTTTACTTACAAATGAGACCTTTAAAAGAATGATTTTAATTATATTTATGCACTAATTATTTTAAATTTAGTCATAAAATAAAGACATAAATTGTTCTCTAGAATTGGCCTTTCATGAAGAATTTATTTTGGTGTGCATATTTCTACAGATCATTGGAAGTCAGAAAGTCTTGATAGCACCCCAGATTCACAATGAGGAAACTGTGATAGATCAGGAAAATCTGGAGTCTGCAAAATATATTAAGGCAATACCTATAGTACTCAATATTGTCCTCAAAGAATTACATTAATTGAGGTCAAAGGCCTATTCTTACACATTTTCTTCTAGAAGGTCCTTCATATTACTAGGCACTCAGTAGATTTTCATAAATACTTGTTACATAAAAATAAGAGATTTAATATCATCAAACTCAGCAGCTCATGTACGATTCTTTATTAGTCAGCTCTTTTTAATGTAACCAAAAAGTTTAGGAATTTAAAGCTACAATCGCTGCTTCTTTCTCATAAAACTGAGTCTTGGAAAGGTTCTGAAGATCTAGGTCATACTTAGCTGAACTTGACCCAGGCAGGGATTAAGTGTGTTGGGGTTGGCTAGTCTAGGATGGCCTTAACTGGGATGGATCAGCTTCGCTCACTGTAATCTCTTCTCTTACATCTATTCAGTTCACATTCCTTTCAATGTAAAGGGGCAAAGTTCCAAGAGTGCAGCATGCAGTCCTCCAGACACCTGGGGCCTCCAGTAGCCCCAACACCTAGAATGCCACCCAGTGACTGTGCTACTTCCCATTAACCAAATCAAGTCATGGTTCAGATCTGAAGTTGAGGGATGGGGACAGCAAGTCCACTTCTCGTTAGGCAGAGCGGCAGGCAATGTCACAAACAACATGCAAATAGGGAGGGATGATGAATAGGGGTTGTTTTTGCAACCAATAGCTGAAACATTGAAGCAAAAATAGAAAGAGTCAGAATATGCTCAAGGCTTAAAATTCGGACATGATGAATTTGTTAGTAGCCACATTTTTTCCTGTCAGCAACTCAAAATGACAGGAAAAAAAGCAAACCTACAATTGGTGTCAGCAGAAGGAGTTTTTCAAATGACTTATGCTATTTGTCAAAATGGAGTAGTTATTCACACAAACAGCCTAGAGTGGATTTGCCAAAGCCCTAATTTTCATGAATTGAGCATTTCTATTAATAGTATAATGCTTTTATTCAGAGGGTTTTTTGGTTCTTGTCTTACTTTATTTGGGCTTTCTGCACTATTTCCTAACTAATTTTACATCAGTTGCCATACAAATCCCTTTACAATTACAAAGAATTGGTGATTTAGTAACTCTGATAGTTCTTTTTTCTGTAGTGTTGTTTAAAACCACAGAAACTGTTGATAAACATTGGAGAATTATTCACTTTTTTTTGTATTATTCCTTTATTTAATTGCTGAATTTTATGTTAGAGAGAAATTTCCAATTCACAGAAAAGTTGAACAGAAATTGCAGATACATTTCACTTATGCCCTGTCCTACACATATGCATTAAATGCAGAGAAATATCCATTTGTGTATATACATGTTCAACTCATTTGTATAAATACTAACAAGTGGGATTGCTGGACCATTTCGTCAAAATTGTCAATAAAAGTCCCTTCATTATCAACATCCTACACGTGAGTGGTACATTTGCTACAAAACTGAGTAGCAAAGTCCTCAATTTACATGAAGTCTCATTTTTGGGGTTGTACTTTCTCTGCCTTTAGACAAATTTATAATGACATGTATCCACCATTATAGTATCATATGGGTATATTCTCTGCCCTGAAAATTTTCTGTGCTCTACCTATTTATCCTTACTTTCACTCCAACCTTGGCTACCAGTTCTCCTTTGTACTGTCTCAGGGTTATGCCTCTTTCAGAATGTCTTATATTTGGAATCATACATTATTTAAACTTTGAGGTTAAATTCTTCCATTTTGTAACATGTAGTTCAGATTTGTGTGTCTCTTCCTGTTTGATAACACATTTTTAGTGCTGTATAATATTCTCTCTTTTTTTAATACTTCTTCACCCTCATGCCTTCTTTACTGATTAGTAACTACTCAGTTTGCAACCTCAGGACACCACTGTTTCCCTAAGTTCATCTAGCTCTCTGAAGAAAATAGTAAAACATAAGAGAACCAGAACCTAAGCATATGAAACAATGGTTAATTCATATCGTCACACCTATACGAAGATGAGATTAGTGATATTTGCACACACCATGGACCAAAAGAGGAGTCCATGCTTTAGAAATTGCATTGCTTTCATACCTTCAGGATTCTCCTAAGTCTTTTAGAACTTAGAAAGTTAGAAAAAAAACTTAGAAAACTTAAAACTTAGAATTTTCTAAGTTCCAGAACTTTAGAAAGTAGGCCAATAAAAAATGTCAATGGCTGAAAAGCTAATCATAATTGCTAATATTGTCTTGAGTAATTTATTAAAAATTAAAGTATACATGGAATTCAGAGAATGTTTAGAGAAGTGAAAATTTCAAATTTACTTCATTCTAGAAGAAACCAGATATATGCCTACCTCCTATAAGCAGAGTATGTATGCTACTGCCCTTGTTCTTTATAGATTTTTTTTTGTATAAATGAAGACCCTCTCCATAGAACACTGAAATGAACTTAAATTATAAAATAAATAGCACCGTTAAAAACAATGTAACATTCTCAATCTTTGTATTTATGTTTTTCTTAACCTTCGTAAACAGAAAAAAAATGCTAGTAAAAATATTTTGGTAAACACTAATAAGGACAAGCTCAAATAAAAAAGGTCCATCTTATTTTTTTCATTCCTAACCAACATGAATGCAAAAACCCTAAACATAACTAGGAAAAAATGAGAGGTTTTCGATGTGTGAATTTGGTGAAAATGCTGTATGGCTTAATTTTCTTATATACTTGTAAATTTTCTCCTGTCTATTATGTAGATTAGATTTACTGCTCTTGAAGTTCAGGACTATATGCCTTGATTTAGTAGTAGCTAGCAAATTTCCTGGTTTCCTTGTATAGACTTTCTACACAAAATAACATCAAACATATCAAACAAAACTTATCAAACATATCAAACAAAATTATCAAACATATCTTTCTTCACATCTTGTACCTCTAATCATTCACAAAAAATATTTAAAGTAGGTGCAAAACTGGTATTAAAGGAAGAGGAAATTTTAAACTAAATTATTCAAAAAATCTCTTTTCGGGTATCTGTACTAAACAAAATCACAGATTCTCATTCAAATGTTTGCTTCTGTTTGCCTGTGAAAACTCAATGTATTACCTTGGATGCAGTTTTATGAGGAGGAATTGCTAGAGTTTTAGAGAAAAGCCCAGGCATTTTATCTATGTTTGCACAAAGCTAAACTTAGATTAAGAGTCTTCCTATTTTTATCTGTTGCTCAAGAAACTAACAGGTGTGATCTGTCTCAAGAGACTGTGTATTTCTCAAATGAACAGCATATATTTAGATCTGATGTTTTGTCTTACAAAATTCAATATTTACTTTCTTTAGAAGAAGAAACACCAGCTTAACAATGCTTTTCAGCAAAGCAACACTTTTAGGTATAATAAATTCAGGCATTCCAGTAGTGTAATTTGCAAGTCATTCAGTATTCCAGACAACTGAAGTCTTTTTTCCTCCACTTTTATAGCTTTTCCAGGGAATATTTATGAGAACAAAATTAATTCTACAAGTATCTTTCCTCATTATCATCTTTCATTTTTTTGTGTGTGTATAAGTGAAATTTTTCTTAAATTTAAGACTACTCACAACTTATCTTCTAATATCAATGGTACATATGGATCTGTTTTTTCAAGTCAGAACCTTGAAAGAAAGAGAAGAGTCAAGAAATTTAGTTGAACACAATGAAATCTGTGCTCTCTAGACCCTAAATACAACCTCCTGACTGGTGAAGAGAACAAGAGAGAAGTGCTACGTGAACAACACGATGGCCCATAGTGCAAGTAAGAATACATTCTATTTTTTAATTATGAATAATCATATGAGGCATTTTGCCCAAATTGTACATTTTATAATTAAAATAAAATCCTTACTGTGATGTTTGTATCAGAGAAGTTCCCAGTAAAAATTAGACCTCAAACTTGGCAATAAAATGGTATTCTATAATGGAATTATTTTTATAAGTTTATCAGAATTTAGGTAGACCAGCGGGGGATAATATAGTGCTTCAGGGTTTAGGACTGGAAACAGAGACATCAGCAGGTCTGGACCTGTAGTCTTGGGAGAGGTCAAGGGACTTCAGAAAGAGTAATTGAATGGCAAGTGCTACCTCATAGGGGTTGGGACTTTCTGTTCAAAGGGATACAACTGACCCATGGTTACCCCATAGGGAAGTAGCAAGGCCAACTGGATACTAACACCTCCTCTTGTCCTCTGGTCTTCTGGAGTCACCAATCAGCCAAATCCAACTGGAGCAAAAAGAGTAAACCAATCCACTATACCTATTCATACAGTTCAGTCTTCCAAAAAACAGAGCAGATGAGAGAGGGTTTCAAACTATGATGAAGGGGAAAACATAAGACATTCATCAGTCATGACAAGGCCCTGTGTGATCTGGTCATGCCTGGTTTCTACCATTTCTACCTTATTCCATCTCCTAGGTCTTTCTCTTTTGCTTACTTTTCTATGACTATGATGGCTTTCTTTTCTTACCAGTGGAACAACTATGTATGGTATCTCTGTCCAATGTGTTCTATCTAGCAGAAAAAGGCTTTCCGGATTCTAAGTTGACTGATTTATACCATATAGGTTTGTTCCCATTGTCTCCTTCTCACTGAGACCTGCTGCAACCACATAATTGGAAATGCCTTCTTCACTTAGTCACTTTTCACAAATTATCCTTTGAATCTTCTTCATAGCAGATACCACACTATATCATCACCTTGCTTATTTATTTGCTGCCTTATTTATTTACAAGATTTTAGGTTTCTAGGATAAGGACATCATCTGCCTCGATCACGGTATGCTCAGTGTATAGAGTACACTGAGGCCCATCGTTCCTACTTCACACATGCAAATTTCTCTTAGCAGGAAGGAAGTCTGCAGCACATGCTTGCCCCAATTAGGAACAGTATGAGACTAATGTGCAGGTTTGAGTATTATAAGGTTATACCGTGTCATCACACTGGAATTTGAAAGACAGTAGAGTTTTGCTTACAACATGTCAATGGAATATTAGAAGTTGACTCACTTGAGAACACTCAAGTTTCTGGATGTGGAAAACATGGAGTGAAAGTTATTTGCAGAGAAAAGAATTCAAAATATTTACTCCATATCAGTAAGTTTGTGTAACAGTTACTTAAATGTGTGCCTTTAGAGTGTTAAAATTTACCAATCTATCCCATTACATATAAGAACTAACTTCAGCTCTGTATAGCTATTCATGATGCTTGGGCAAAAACAGAAATGGCTTGTATGATGAAATGCTTCCTGTTTAAAAAAAATTCTTTCAGTTTTTGTTGAATAGAAAATATAATTATAACCATTCTTCAATTTATATTTCAATTAATTCTCATTGTGTCTCTTTTTTCTTCTGCCTCTGAACCATATCCAGTTGGAATAGGAAGAACAATGCAATACATTGTCAAAATATAGACATTGTTTCATTTATATAGTTGTTCCACCCTGCTCCCCTTGTTTTTGTGGCACACCATGAGAACAAATGCTGATAAAGATGCTTTTTTTGTGAGAGGTGAAATGGCGGGCTGTAGAAATGGAAAAAGAAAGGGAAAGCAAAATAGCAAAACATTGAAGCATTTACAATACCATCATTTCCACGATTTCTTTTCTTGCTTAATTTGACTGGGAACAGCCCTTCTGGTTGGTGGTTTTTCTTTCCTTGCTGTGCACAATTCTCTCTCACTGAATCCTCTGTGCATTATTTTACAAAAATAATTATGTGCAGAGAGAAAGATAAGCCCCTGTTTAATTATTATTTTGTCGAAATTTCAGACATTTCATTCATTTTATAATGTATGTCTTTGTTGGCACTGGAAATGAGGCTTACTGATTTTTTGTATTACTTGTTTTTGCTTCCCAAGCATCCATACATATTCTATGTACCAGTCTTTTCTCCCTTTATCCAGCTAGGCTAAGCTCCCAGGGAACCATCACATACTTTCCTACTCATGGATGGAGATGAAGACATTAAGAGCTCCCAAATTTTATTTGGATGAATATTTTGTGGCATGTGCTTAACGGTTTCTTAGAGAACTCCCATCTGTCACCCAACAACTGCCTATATTTTTACAATTAAACCATGATCTCAGATTGGACGTCAGCACTTCTGAGCAATTTTCCTCCATGATTTCCTGAAGCCTCAAAAATAATGGTTTGTACATACCTTGGTCTCCTTCATACCCACCCCAGAAAATGCCCTTCATAAGTCTTGTGTGGGTGGTAGAACTTTGAAGGAACATTTGGCAAGACTCACAGCCACCAAAGAAACAAAGACCTCATTTCTACTGCCATGATGGACCAAGTTTATCCAAAAATCTGTATCATCTTAGAAGCTGACTTTGCCCCAGAGCTTCCCTATGTGGTGTAGCTGATATCTTCGAATTCAATCTTGAGAGACTGAGGAAAGAATCCACTCGAGTCCACTGGAATTTCTGAACTACACAACTGTCAGATAATAAATGAAGTTATTTAGCTGCTAAGTTTGTGGTTGCCGGCTGTGCAGTGATGAAGGGTTGTACCTGACAGGAGCTGGGAAAGAGAGACACACAGGTTGAAGAGAAAAACACCACCCAGCTTCCTGGAGGATTTTAGAGTTCGGCTTTAGAAGACTGACTGGGAAATCAGCAACTGCTGGTCTTTATAATAACCACACTGAGAAACCACTGATTGCAGAGGAGTGATAAGCTGTTAGTCTGCAATATGGCTTAGTGAATAAGTTGAATTGCATTTAACTTATTGTAATTATACATCATTTTTTTTCAATAAACCTTTGATGAGGTGAAGATCAGGAATTAAATGCATACTTTGATAATTGCTGATAGACATGTACTATATATGTATATATATTCTAAATATATTACTATGTGTTATTTATTTATATAAATATATTTATATATTCTACTGTATTTATATAACTACCATGCCAATCAAGCAGAAAATTTCCATACCATCTAAAGTTTGCTCCAGCCACCTTCAAGTTCTCTGTAACCACTTTCACTAATAGTTTCCGTTCTTTGATTTCTGTTGATAAGCTATAGCTCTTATGTGTTTTTGCAACAAACTTAAGTACTGTATTTTATTCCCAGTTTAGTATAGTGAAGTGAACGGTATAGCCCACTTTCAGAAATGTTTGATATAATATCTCTATAGGTCAGCAGAGAAAAAAAATCAATATTCATTTTTCATTCTATGAGCTCTATGTTGCAAAATCCTAAGGTAGTTTTCATAGCTCTTCTTGAGATTTTCTGACCACATTCTGCTTTCTCTCTTCTCGTTCTTTTGTATCAATCTCACAGTTTTTGGCAGCTTTACATGTCAGTTTATCCCCTGTCATCAGGAGGGAATAAACACTCCATTGACACAGAGACATACAGATCTTTTTTTTTTTTTTTAAGTAAGAATGGCATAGCTCACCACTTGACATTCTTGAAATTTCATTTAGTAAGACTTTTACTAAATGCTATCTTTCCCTTACTTAATAAAATTCATATTCAGGCGCGCAGACCTCTCCTGCCGCCCGCTGCTCCCCTCAGCAGTGTGCTTCGGTCCTTCTGCCTGCTCTGCTCCCCGCTCTGGCTGTGGTGAATTCTCTCACCCTCCCGCGCTTCTGACTGTACCCAGTGCTTGTATAAATAAATAAATAAATCTTTAAAAAAAAAATTCATATTCAGATGCTTCAAAGTTTAAAATATTTACCTTAATTGAGATTCATTACACATAAGTACAAATAAGTTTTCTTTAGGATTTTATTAAGATATGCGAGCACCTGATTGAAAATGCATATTCATTGTGGCTGGACAAATGTTAATTGTAATACTTGGCCATTTTCTTACAGGCTGTTATAATAGCTGCTCCATAAGTGACAGACAATAACTCATCAACTTTACAAATCCCCTTCAAAATCCAGTTTATTCAAGAGGTGTATACCTTCAACTTATGCAGTCTTTTTAAACCCTCTTACTGGCTATATATAAACTTCTTAGTTTCTCAACCAGAAAAGGCTAAACCCTGAAAGACATTTTAAAGCAGACAGCACCTAGACGGAAAAAAAATTAAAATTCTGGAGAGAATGTGTCATTCGTCAAAATCAACAAACTTTACCAGCCTGAGAAAGAAAATAAAAATCATATAGAAGTATTCAGGAAAACTGCAATAATAAAAAAAAAAAAAACTTCAACAATTCTGAAGGAAATATATTTGAATTCAAAATATCATTAGCTTTATTTTGCATTGTTTAGTGGACTTTATTGGCTGAACAGGATAAACCTTTTGGGATTAACTCTATCTGAAGGTTCCTTGATATTATCATTAATTGAGCTTATCTACACTTGTGCTTACTTCTAAATAACAACTTATTTCAAGTAGTCCTCTGTTTAAAACAACTATATTGCAACAATAATTTATTGTATCAATAAATTATTTATTGATATTAGGGCTTCCCTGGTGGCGCAAGGAGTTAAGGACAGCACTATGAAGCTATCAGCAGCTTCTGCAGCACGAGTTCAATACCTGGCCAGGGAGCTACCCACATGGCGCAGTAGACCTCTCCTGTCTCACGTACTGCTCCCCTCAGCAGTGTATTCAATCAGTCTGCCTGTTCTGTTCTCTGCTCTGTCTCTGGTGAATCCTCTCACCCCCCACACCTCTGGCCTGTACCCCAGCTCTTGTATGCATAAATAAATAAATCTTTAAAAAAAAGAAAAGGGCCTCCCCTGGTGGCACAGCGGTTGAGCACTGGACTGCAAAGCTGCCCTCAGCCTCTGCAGCACCAGTTCGATCCCCGGCCACCTGCGAGGGTCCCGCATGGCGCGCAGACCTCTCCTGCCGCCTGCTGCTCCCCTCAGCAGTGTATTTCATCAGTCTGCCTGTTCTCTTCCCTGCTCTGGCTCTGGTGAATTCTCTCACCCTCCCGTGCTTCTGACTATACCCGTGCTTTTTATAAATAAATAAATAAATATTTAAAATAAAATAAAATAAAAAAGTAAAAAAAAAAGAAAAAAGTTATTTATTGATATTAACATTTGTTGATATTAACCTTTATGAATCTCTTTGAGATTTAGTTCCATTTTCATAAGAGAATGAAAAGAATCATGGAACATCAAACATACACCAGATATGTTTTGTCCCTCCCATACTGGAGGAAGGAATGCTGACATTTGAGTCAAATCCGTTTGACCAGAATCTGCAGTCCTACAGTTATCAAAATAAGTTGATTAAACAATGATTCTATTGTGATGGACAATATGCTTCAAACAGTTTTGACATACTAAACAAGAAAGATATTTATCAATACATATAGAATGAAAAATATTATAAATCTAAATATACCTGAAGAAATTATTTTGGCAACAAGTAAAATTAAATATCTAATCCATCACACTTTTATGATAAAGAGTTTAGTATTCTGGTAAATTTATGTCTGTCTTGAATATACACCTTTGACAAAAGTCCTCAATAATTACAAAATATTTTGCATTATATATAAATTTGACAAATTCTTATTAGAAAAACTACAGGAAATTTGAAAAATGATTTTGTAATTGTATGTTATTGAATATATTTAAAATCTTAGACATTTTCTTGTGTTTTATTCTATATAATGCATAAGCAACTCTTTCTCTATTTTTGTTTATGGATTTCAGCATTGCTGAGGCAACTATTAATTTATAATGACACTTTCTTTGTCTCATTATTCAGAGACTAAGTTTATATAAACTTTGAGATCAAAGTCCTTGAAGGTTTATAAAGGAATATATGCAATGTGAAGGCAACTAGAACCAGAGCTAGTGGTAAAAACATTCTCCAAGTCTCATTGTTCCCTGAAGTGATTCAGAGTGGCATGAAATTCCCAATATTCCATCTTTATGTTTTCTGTTCTCTTTTGCCCTTACGTCTAATAAAAGGATAATTTTAAGTATGCAGAAAATCTTGATATTTCAAATAAATCTAAGTTGACCTCAGGGTAACATAGGGGTAGAATGCAAATTTCCCTTTTATTTCTAAGTTCTTCTCAGACTGAAGTAACTAAAATAGCATCAGATTAGTAGGAGAAAAAAGAGCAAGTGAAACTTATTTTTTTGATACAGGTATTCTATTTGCACAAGGAATACACATAGAATTAACTAGATCAGTCTAATGCCAAAGCTATTTTGAAAATAAATTGTGCAAATAGAAGAATATATCAATATTTTGATTGGGGACTATCAAAAATTTTAATAAAGTCATTTTATAAATCATCTTTTTTTTAATGTTTCTCGCTTAACACCAGATGAATTAAAGAAGAATTTTTTTATTTGAAAAGGAATTTATTTATAAAGATTCATTGTTGTGCCTCCCCTGGTGGCGCAGGCAGTTGAGCGCTGCGCTGTGAAGCTGCCCACAGCCTCTGCAGCGCTGGGTTAGATCCCAGGCCGCTGGCAGTGTCCCACATGGCGAGGCAGACCTCTTCTGTCTGGCCCGCTGCTCCCCTCAGCAGTGTATTTCGTCAGTCTGCCTGTTCTGTTCCCCGCTCTGTCTCTGGTGAATCCTCTCACCCTCCCGCGCATCTGACCTGTACCCCAATTCTTGTATAAGTAAATAAATAAATCTTTAAAAAGGAAAAAGATTCATTGTTCATTCTGACTCTCAAAAAATCCAGATTCAATATAATAGAAACACTTTTTTAAATAAAACCTCTCAGATTTTATTTTAATTTAAATTTTAATTAATTTAATTTTAATTTTATTTTATTTTAATTTTTTTTTTCCCCACCAAGGGAGGCCCGTAATAGAAACACTTTTATATGTTGGAGAAAAAGGAAGTTGAAGGTCAAGTATTTGGGCACTTTGATCTTAGACTGAACCTGAGCACTACTGAAACACAGAACTGGAAGTTCTGGATGGGTTCGGCATGCTGTCTCTCTTCCTTCTCTGTATTTTCCTAGGCAGGCCAATTGTCTGAAATACAGTGGGCACTCAGTGTAAGTTTGTTTGTTTGTTTGTTTTTTAAATTTATGCATACAAGAACTGGGGTACAGGCCAGATGTGTGGATGGTGAGAGGTTTCACCAGAGACAGAGTGGGGAGTAAAACAGGCAGATGGACTGAAATACACTGCTGAGGGGAGCAGTGGGCTAGTCGGGAGAGGTCTGCTGAGCCATATGGGTTGCTCCCTGGCGGGGCGAGGGATTGAACTCGTGCGTCAGTGGCTGTGGATTGCTTCATAGTGCTCAACCCCTTGCACCACCAGGGAGGCCCCTCAGTGTGAGTTTAAATGAATTAGCAAAAAAAGAAATGAATTTCTCTTTCCTCAAGAGAAGGTGTATTTTCAGAAATAATGGAGATTGTGTATTACCACATTTTACTGTGAAGGACACATACTTGATCAATTTAATCAGGACCACTTTTTGAAGTTTGACCTGTCTGATTCTGTAGGAAAAGAGGTATTAAGGTATTAGGGTGTCAAGTTAGAATTTGTTCAGGTCTCTAGTGAGCATTAAAAAGAAGGTGGTGGGAGGATTTGTAAGAAGATGATTACTTCTCCTTGATACCTTGAAAGAAGAGTTCAAAAGGAAATTGACTTTGATTTTCTTGATTTCTTGAGGGAATAGTGGAGGCCTTTTTCCCCTCTGCTATAGTAAAATGAGGTTGCAGAGGTCAAAGACAATGATTTATGAGTGTGGTCTTAGAACGAGGTGTGTTGAATTT